GCCTCCCTTCATCTGATAGTAATTATTATCAGCAACACTCTCTTGATCCTAATCAATATCCTTCTGCAAGTCGTCATGATCAGCATCCTCATCATTCTGATCATTATCCACTCAACCATTCTTCTGATCCTCATCCAATATTGTCATCATTAAATTTACTTGAATCTGATGATGATCCTGAAACTAATTTTACTAAGGAGAGCTTACACAAGCTGCAAAAAGGGAAGCCTCAGTCTCTACAAGATGCTATTAATCAACAGCCACACTCATTTGAAGGTATCATGGCCGTACATCAACAGATGCATTCTGATATAACATGGTATAGTACCAACTTTGATCACGTCACCCAACGCTGTAAAGAGCTGTTTGATAATCTGGAGGAAAGAAGAAGCAGCTTTAGACAAAAAGCAAGTCAATTACAAGAAGATTATAAGCAGAATATTAATAAAATGAAAGAAATGAATGAAAATTTAACATCTTGTCTTCAATCTCTTCAAGATTTACATGATAGCCTCAGAAAAGAACATCAGGAGCTCCAAATGTCACATGACACCCTCACAGCAAATCATCAGAAGCTTTTGAAGTCACATGATACCATTACAGTTAATCATCAGAGGCTTAGAAACTCACACACTAGCCTCAGGAAGGAACATCAGGAGCTTCAGGAATCAAATACAACGCTCACAATTTCTCATGAAGAGCTTCAAACATCTCATGATAACCTCAGAATCACTCATCAGCAGGAAGTCACTCGACACCAAAAGTCACAGGAAGAGAATGAGAACAGACTACAAGAGGTTAATCAAAGATTAGTTCAAGCACAGATAGAACTAGCAGCAAAACAAAATGAAGTGACTAAATTACAAAATACGCTGCAAAAATTGGAAAATAATTGGAAGGTCAGTCACACAGAGGTATCACTGTCAAAGAAAGAGCTAGGCAGAGGAGGCTGGGGTGTGATCTGGATGGGAGAGTTTAGGGGACAAAGAGTTGCTGTGAAACAAATGCATGAGCTGATTAAAAGTGATGAATATATGGAGCTCCTTCATAGAGAGATAAATACAATGTCTCAGTTGCGTCATCCTAATCTCCTCCAGTTTATAGGAGCTGTATTAGACCATCCATCAGGTAATCCTATGATTATCACTGAAGTAATGGATACCTCATTACGGAGTGCATATGAGAGGAAGGAGCTTACTACTGATCCTGGCTGTAGACCAGTGATCCTATCTA